AAACACTTTCAAAACAGGCAGAACATCTGAGTCATGCAGGAAAGCATGATGCACTTCTACAGTTCACCTTTCAGTTGAAGCTCACTGCACTCAACCTGTACGTCCATGGAAGCTAAAGAGCAAATAACGTGACAAATATGAAGGATTTATCCCAGGAACTGAGTTACTGCTTCATGAGTCAGACTGGAGTTAATCTGCAATTCTGCATGGAGGTAAAATTCAGAGAGGGAGGTATTTCAGAGATGGCGTTAGGATTAGTAAGAGTCTCTCTACCTACAGAACTGCACAGAGCTGACTGGTAAGCAGCAAAAGACCCAGGACAACACAATTGCTGTTCGTCTTCATGATTTGCTTGCCTCTGACTCCAGGGGCTATTGACCTGCTACAGTTTAGCAAGCCCACACTCACAGCCACCACCCCATGCTGATTCAGAGGGATAAAGTTTCTTCACAGCATCTCCTTTTCCCTTTTTTTACCAAGATTCCCACATCGTGTTCCTTAACGTGACACTAGTGTTCACAATAGCCCTTCTCAGCCAAGCTTTTACCTTTTTATCAGTACAAGCCACTTGTTGCCAGCCTAGCTCTTTTTCCTATCGAAAGTACATTTGTCAGGCAGCCAAGGTTTTGCAAAAATAAAGTATTCAGAGGGCAACAGTGTCTGCCGCCACATAACCGTGGCAGAAAGATGTCCAACAGATCCTTCCACTGAACTTCTCTCCCCCGTCTTGAGTCCTCTTTGCAAGACAAAACTGGACCAGTATTTCACATAATTCCTAAATTATCAAGTTAAGTAAATATAAACTTTTGCCAGTGCCCTCATAGTTCTGAGGGGATGGCAGATTTTGATTTTCCTTAAAACTAACCCTTTAAGACTTACTCTAAGCCCAAAACAAATCTGGTCTAAAGCAAAACAGGAACATGCACACGCTTCAACTCAAAAACATCAGAAAATCCTAACTTCAGTTTGAATCATGCAACTTCTTTGCAACCAAGATGCAATCCCAGCATAGGTGCAGATCCCAAAATGCCCCATCCTGGTTAGAAGCAAGTTTCCTGCACCATGCAGCACCTCAGACAACACTAACTTAACCAGAAAAGCAGATAAATGCTTTAAAGCCAAATTTCTCTGATACTACAGTAATACATACCTAAAAAAAATATAATAAAATCAGCAGACAAATAAGCCAAGATGTGAAAAGAGAGGCTCAAGGATAGGCTGCAGACAGGTAAATTCAGAAATCCTGGTGAGTAACAGTAGTTAGGCTTTCATTCTTTCTCTCCCAGTGCTCAACTCACATCTTAGCATTAAAAGAGGCAAGATACCAAAAAGGAACAGTGAGCAGTACAAGAAGTGCAAAGGTACTTGAATTTTTGTAGAATGTTTACCATCACTTGAGCAGATGAGAAAACCCAAGGAAGCTTAGGCGTGACTTTTCACTAAAATGTACTAATTCAAGGTCATTTGCTAGTTTAAGTATGATTTTTTTACCTTTTTAAAAGATGGTGTTTACCCGGTTCATAGATTTGATTTCTATGTGATACAGCAAAAATGTCACGCTTGCTTTTAGAGAGCCAAAAAAGTCTCTGAGAATAAATGTTCTTCTTTTATTAAAAAAATAAACCTTAAAATCCAGGGGGGTGCCATGTACACGGGGTACAAAAGAGAAGTACTGTGATGCTGAAGCTTAATGAATTTACAATTCTTACTATTCCATCAGTGCTCTGAAATTAATCAGAATAGGAACAAAAAGCCAAACTATAAATGCCTGATTTCTCCTGGGTAAACTGGTAGTTAAACTGTAGGGAATTTATTTTAATTCTAGCAGCAAGCAGGGGGGCTTGGGAGAGCCCACATCAGAGTAGCTGCAGCATTTTACAGATGGGTACTACTGAATTCCACTACAGTCCGGTTCCGAGAATGAGTTTCCACCCCATGCTGAACCCGAAGGCAGACGTTACGTGCCCCTGCCTCCCTCTCTCCCAGCCTTTCAGGAAGCTATGAAACTAATTTTCCCCAGCACTATTCTCTGGAGGAAAAGTTCATTTCTCGTGAAGGTAACATGTATTTTTTAATTATTATTATTTTTTATGCCTCCCCAGGGAAGGTGAGGAGGGGGCAGCTTCCTTGCTCAACAGAGAAAGAAATTTTCCTGTATCAGTGCCAAGAATAGACACCCTAAATTCAGCGATCCTAATCTCCAGCCATCCATCAGCAGCAGGGTGGGACCAGCTGATTCAGATTTTCTATTAGCTAGCGACTTTGTGTACTAAAATAAGTCACTGTACCACCCAATTGTTCCTGCTGCTCTCTGCTCTGCACAAGCACAGGCTTAATACCAGCTACCCCAACTAATGCTCTAAGTACTTCCCCAGCAGGTCCTTTATAACTGGCACAACCCTCTTCCCACCAACTCTCCCAAGTCCCTGTGTGCCCCTGCGACTTTACGTCCTGAGCTTTTCTTACATTTGCCCCACTATCCTTTTGGCACACATCAGGGAAAACGCCAACTCTGAGTATCTACTGTACCCCAGGAGGCAGAATCCGAGATCAAATCTAACCTGGAGACAAACTATTTGATGGCAACTATTCAAATACAGGGTCAGTTAGTATTCATATAGACAGTGATCAAGGCCCATATATAGGGCACGCTGAGAGACAGATAAAGACAGGATAAAAAAAATTAAAACCCCAGCTATATATTTTAAAAGGCATGGGAAAGTATTGAAACAGTTCACCAACATATCAGCTTAATATATGACTCTTAACTAATGAACGTGAGCTATTTAATATTTGACTATCTTCTAGACCAGAAAATTTGTAATTTGATTAACATTATTCCATTATTTACACAGTCAAATCAATAGCAGAATATGGAAACTGGCAAAGGATTTGAAAATAACACTAAATAAAAACAATTAAAAATGCACGACTGAGGCTAACGGCAAACTCTGTTAACCCAGTCAGACAAGTCACGCTCACACAGTTGGTAGTCTGCAAGTTTTCAGCTCCCATAGACTAGTGCCATGCGTTGGGAGCAAAAATAAAGAATCTGAGACCAGTTCATTTCACAGTTAAACAAAACACAAGCAGTGTGTGTCTCCATGGGTCAGGCAATCTTCTGTTCTCATTCATATTCCTACAGCCACAGAAATCAAAAGGAGTTGGTAAGTCAGGTCTTGCTGGGTATTACCGGCATAGGCCATGCACCAGGGACTAAATTTTTAGCAAAGATAGAGGCAAATGTTTCCTGAGTTCAGCTAACTCTAGAGCATCCCAAGAACTGGTATCCAGACACACGTTTGGTCTAGAGCTTCTCTGCAGCTTAGAGGACAGAATACTTCAGACCTGTTGTTCTGATTCAACGTTACCATCAACGAAAGAGAAAGGCAGCCGACCATTTCAAACAAAGGAAACAATACACCTGGCTAGCAAAACTTTGAAGAGTGACTGCTGATTTTAAGTGTCCCATATAACCCCTATTAATAGAGAAAAAAAAATTCAGAGAGCTACAGATATCCTCCTCCTTCCTACCTACCTTCCTAGAGACAAAATCGGCATCCAAAAAACCAATACAACAGCACTGGTCTGTAGTTCCTTTGAAAAGAATGGCCTTCAAAGTCAGTCATGGAAATTCAAAGGACAAACGCTTCTTTTTATTAAAAAAAACCCCTAAACCGGCAACATAGAAACCTCAGAGCAAATGGGGAAATATGAATGGCCCGTTTAATCAATTAATGTAGTAAGGCATTCAGAAAAGAACCTCACTAATTCAAAATCATGCCCTAACAGGGATCTTGGTTTATTTTTTACTATTAAATTAGTAAAGCAAACAAACAAAGAAGTATTCAAGAAGTCTGCATCAAAAATTGCAAGCACAGTAAGCTATGCTAAGTGTTCAGCCTCCTATAGTAAAGAGAAATATTATGCAGTACTAAACACAGCTTATGGAATGCTGAAAAGAAATAAGAATGCTAAATGTTTTGTTCAAAGAATCAGGTTTTGGATTAGGAAAATAAATAGTTTTTTATCCAAAAGTTAGTAAAATACCTACCGTACTAACACATCAAGTAAACATTTGCTAAAGTTTACATCAATGCTGCTCATTTAGGGGCAATTAAGCAATTAAATTATTTATATATTGCACATCTCCACCTAAACCATTCCCCATGAAAAATTCCACTACAGGATGTATAAACAAATGGTTCTCCACTGATTACTGACAGGTAACCGCCACCAAGATTGAGTTTATGACAGCAGTGCAACACCACCAGGCCACTATAGAAAGTGTATCTATCTGTACGGAAGGGACAGTCAAAATTCCCAGTTAAGTTTTACTCTAGATGCTAACTCCTCCAGAAAGCACGACTATTTTCTGGGTCAAGTACATACACTGGGGCCGATTAATACCTGTGCAACACAGAAACAACATGCACTAAACAAGGCTCCAACTTTTCCATGTCATGAGCTTGATCCCAACTTCAGCATGCTATAGCTCTGTATGGCATCTTGTAGGAGATTCTTTTTGCCTACTAAAATAAGTATTAATAGTTGAGGTTCTTATTTAATAAAATATAAACAATGCATAAAAGAATTAAGGGTTGTGTTATTTAATCTAATGCTACTTTTAATTTGTTTAACACTGCCTTTACATTTTCAATGTACTGCAGAATAACTGTGTAAAAATATGTCAATGGAAAGCTAGAAGTTTTGTCAACAGGGAAGAGGACAGATGTGCCACTTAGGAAGGTAAACAAACAAAGCAAGTTTGCAGGAAGAACAGAGTGGCTAGACATCAAAAGGATCAATCAACTTTTAAGCAGTGATTTCTGACTGTTTGCAAACAGACAAGGTGTAATACACTAGGTATACAAACATAAGAAAAGTGTGTATAAAGACTCTGGAACATAACAGCAAAAATTCTGTAGCCCACCAATATATGTAGTTAAACAGAACAAGTCTTTCCCCTTCTCATGTAGGACATTAAAACGACAGCTTACCCTTTCCACTTGTCCTTCTTTATGCTTCAGTTTGTACACTTTCAGCTTTGGAAGGAAACTCTCCACATAGTTCTTGTCTTCCATGCCTTGGAGCAGTACCCCGTGGAACGCCAGCCGGCAGGTATTTGCATGAATATCTGTATCCAGCTTGGAGCCAATCACAAGGCACAGTTTAGGACAAGTGACTGGTTTTTCAAACTCCAGCAAAGCCCACTGTTGTCTTGGGAGCTGGACTTCTCCTGCCTGGTTGTTTTCTTTGTTCTCCTCTGAAGAATTTGAGTCCTTGGACAAATATTCCTCTTGATAAAGATAATCTTTTTCAAAATCAAAAACATTTTCTTGAATTTCTTCATTGAAGTCAGCAGGGGCTGGACTGAAAAACATGACTCTTCCCATAACTGTTTCGTGACCAACTGTGATGTGGAACTTGGCCTTGGTCTGAAGAGCTCCTCGAAAATACTGGATTTTTTTCAGGGAAATTATTGCAGCATGGATGGTGTGAAGTGATTCTGGGGTGCAAATGAGACCTCGTTCCAGCAGTTTGGGATCAAACTGGGTTACGCAGATACCTACTCTGTCACCCTGCATAGCGTAAGTCACAGGAGTATGGAACATCTGCATAGACTTGACTTTCTTTGTCACCTATTGATGAAAGAGGAAAAAAAAAAAAGCAATTAATTGCACACGAGTGCATCACAAGCACAAAGCCACATATCACACCCTGCTCTCTTGCAAGATGACTGACCTTCTAGAAGAGTCCACAGTTCAAAAAGCAGAAAGTGGACAGACTGAGAACATACCCCATCATTTAGAATTAACGCAAGTTTGAGCCTCTTCACTTATTTTACTTCTGTTCATAAGACTAAGATTATCACAGCCACAATTATGCTGATATTTGCATATTGCTGCAATACATACTACCTGCAAATCAACAGCTATGCCCACCCCATGGAACAGCTTACTTCATGTACTGCCCCTAAGCACCTGTACCATTCAACACTGTAGCACTACCATACCCACCCATGCACCTATGTGACTGTGAAAGTTGTTTCATACACTTCGACTTAGTTGAATTCAACTGCACAACAGTCAGAACAAAAAAAAAAATTAAAATCTTTCCTAACAATGTATTTGTATGAGTACAATGTAATCTTGTAAACTATCACTGCAAAATAATTAGTAAAACAAAAGTCTACCCTCTCCTAGTCTATGACATTCCATATATTAACAAAAAAAAAATCCTTAAAGCTTTTTTGCAAAGATTTGAATGTTCATAAATAAATGGCTAGCATCACTCTCACTACAACATGGAGTTCTACCTGTTAGGATTATCGTAGGCAGACTGCAGCACCAACCACCACTTATACTTAAAATGTATTTAGCTCTTCCCAGATGATACAAAAGTTCAACCTTAATGAGCTTACTATTGTATTTGTTCTTTCAAGGAGTTCTTAAGGAAAAGAGAAGAATGAAATAACCTTTCAAAGATCAGTCTAGGCTCAGCTTGATCAGACTAAACCAGTTTAGATTAACAAGGCTTCATTCAGGCTTTTCTTTCAGTTCTGTCAAGAGTAGAATATTCCCCCACCCCAGTTTTTTGTGTAACAAAATGGTTTTTCTGATAATGTGTTTATGTTGCCACCCTGGTGCATTCATACTAATTCTGGACAGGTAACCATTCTGCTTAATATCCCTATATTAGATACCAAGCTTTTAATACTGAAATGATATTTTTGGCAATAAAAAAAAATTATCCCCTAAATAAATATCAAGTACTTGGGCAAGAGTCCTTAGTACGGAAAAGTTATACATAATGTATTTTTGAAGGGCTGAAACCTCAAAACTCAGATCCAAGAACTGAACTCTCCATGGAAATGCTCCATTCCCGAGATCATTTCTTTAGTATGTCTTTATCAATATACACTAGATTACACCGTAAATGCATACGGAACATTGTTAGAATATATCTCACTCAGCATAATTTCTTCTTCTCTCTCCGTTTTCTTCGTACCAATTCTACCACTATCAAAAAGGTTCATGTCAAACGCTACTGTGCGATTCTCAGCATTCAAGCCATTAGTATCTGTCTTACTTAGCTGGAACTGTTCTCAAATCCATCTCCAACCACTGCATGCCCCTTTGCAGCCCATCTTCTAATTCTGGCCCACACTATTTATCTTCTAACTCCTGAGAGTAAGAAACCAAAATACGTAAGCGCTGGTTAAAAGAATCCCAAACCAAAGGATAGGACTCAGCAGATCTGGGCTTTATTCTCAGTATGTCACACAGCTTAGAGCACATCATTTAGGTTAGACAACTCAGAACAGTCTAGAGAAGTTAACCGTATTAATTTAAATCAGAATCATTTACTCACAGGATAATATTGAAAAATCAGCTTTTTTTTCTGCATCTTGGATGCAATGTACAAATGGAAACAAAACTGTTTTTCACCTTTTCCTTTTCTACAAAGCCTGCTGCCCAATACGAAGGACAGAGTATTTGGCTTCAGACAAATCTTTGTATGCCTATTCCCAACATCACCAAACTAAGCACTACTAAGAGAAGACTGTAGCTAAAAAAAGGAAGAAAGACTCAGAGGGGAACAAATTGCAGAAACTTAGATCAAAATAGAGGAGTGGATGAAAAGTCTATTGGCTGAACTAAAACCTTCAGTAACTGGAATATAAAGAGTTCTCCAAATAAGTCAGCAAAAAATGGTCACAGGCATATACAGAAAGACGATTTTAAAAAAGGGGAAAAAAATCTAGCAGCTGCACAGCTTCTGGAAAACAACAAAAATCCTGTTTTCCTTCTTGAAATCATAATTATACAAATAACAATGGCCATGAGCTTCACCACTGCAAACATTGTTTGGGTTCCCTGTATCTCTGGCTGCTAACCAAAACCAAAAGAAATGCCCTTTTTCAGATTAAGTTATTATTGCAACATTTTTCAAATCAAATGCCACATCAATGCCTGTGGATTCTTGGAGAATCCACAGAATATTATGTGGAAGGTGATCAAGAGGTGTGTTCACATAAGAGAAAAACCCCTCACTAAAAAGCCCGGACCAAAACAGTTTGGTACGATCTTAACTAGTGTCAGAACAGACTTAAAAGGCTATTCTAAATACTCACTAGTATTTCAGTTTCAAGCATTTTTGTACTCAAATATATACTCATTATCCCTTTAGCCAAACCTCCTCGAACAGTACAGCCTACCTATACAGATCGGAGGGAAACAATTTGCCATTTACCTCCATCTCTCTATTCACTTGCAAGGTTGTATTCCCAACTGCAAGTACAATGGCTTGAATCAAACCCTTCATATCTTTCATTCACTATCACCTACCCCTCCCTCTCCAGTTTCCATCATTGTGATAGTTGCAACACTGGCAATACAAGTAATGTTTAAAGACTTAAAAAATAAATAAATATACATATAGAAGGTTTTTCTAAACATATGTTTTCCAAAGAAACAAACAAGCACTACAAGATTGAAATCACCATATGAAAAGTACCAGCCCAAACCACGGGGATCTGAAAGACTTCTGTGATTTCAGAAGTAATAATACTAGGAGTAAATCTTCCATCTTCTACAACCATGGACAGGGTGAATAAACTGACAAGAACTAAGGAATCTTCCATCCCTGTCACTCCCCAATACAGAACTGGAACTAGAAGATGCACAAGAGATCTATGCAGTTTTCTGCCTTAAATAGAGCCACAAAGATTTGTTTCATTATTAATATACCAGTTTATAATATTACTTTTCAGAAACTACCCACCTAAACAGCCGAGTGAAATTATTACAGAAAAATATTTGCCAGTCTCTAAAACAGTCTACGTATATTCATCTGAAACATTTTTCACAGAACTCGGATAGCATTAAAGAATACAGATTGTGTTTAAAAATACCTATTCTTGCGTGCATATACTCAGAATACATCTTAGCTTTTAATTAGGGATCTATGAAACATTCCTCAAAAGTGTTATGCCTACTGTCTCACCTTAAATTAACTCAAATGGTTAGGCTTGATGCATCTGACATGCAGCCCATAAATAACAATCAGAAGAATTAGCTAGCGCTTTTAAAATATTCACTTTGCATGATTAAATTTTTTCAATAAGATTTGCAGTTCTCAACCATGGCATACAAATCTGGCTTGTATCAGAATACTAGCTGCGCTCTTCCACATTTCTGTGTTAAACTACATTTAAAAGACCATACAGTTGTAAACTGTCACTTTAAATGACAAAAGCTTGCTTTAATTCCCATGTGTAGGGGAAACTTTGCAGTGGAGTATCAATACAGAAGCATTTTCTGGTGTCAAACAAGGCTTTAACAGGATGGCTCCAGTTCACTACATTTGCTGATGGTCCTCACGAGTCTCCAATACAAGTTTCAAGAAAAGTCTCGGATCCTGACTAATTCTCTTCCAGGCTGCTCTTTCAGAAAACAGTATCCTAATCAAAAACACACACTGAAAATTTGCAGAATCACAGAAATCTTCC